CTTGGCCCCCTACAACTCAACCTAGCAACTCTATATTAGATATGATCAATTCGTCTTTACTGGCAGGCTATGTACCCCAGGCATTTAAAGTAGCGGTAATCAAACCTCTACTTAAAAAGCCTACTCTAGATTCAGGAACTCTAGCTCACTACAGGCCTATATCCAACCTTCCTTTTATCTCAAAGATCCTGGAGAAGGTGGTCGCTAATCAGCTGTGTGACTTTCTCCATGACAGCAGTTTATTTGAGGAGTTTCAGTCAGGATTTAGAGTCCACCATAGCACTGAGACTGCACTAGTTAGAGTTACAAACGATCTACTTCTAGCTTCAGACAGGGGACTTCTCTCTGTGCTTGTCTTGTTAGATCTTAGTGCTGCTTCTGACACCATTGACCATCAGATCCTATTATACAGACTAGAACATTTACTTGGAATTACAGGGACTGCTTTAGGTTGGTTTGAATCCTACTTATCAGACCGATCTCAGTTTGTACATGTTAATAATGAGTCCTCTATGCACACTAAAGTTTGCCATGGAGTCCCACAAGGTTCAGTGCTTGGACCAATTCTCTTTACATTATATATGCTTCCTCTGGGAAATATTATGAGGAAACACTCCATACAGTTTCATTGTTATGCAGATGATACTCAGCTTTATGTATCAATGAAGCCCGATGGCACCAGTCAGTTATGTCAGCTAGAAATGTGCCTTAAGGACGTTAGGACCTGGATGACCAGACATTTTTTGCTACTTAACTCAGACAAGACTGAAGTTATTGTGCACTAGCACCACTGATAGGAATCTAGGAGTTCTATTTGATCAAGATATGTCTTTTAGCTCTCACGTCAGGCAAATTTCAAGAACAGCCTATTTTCACCTCCGTAATATATCCAAGATCAGGAATATCCTGATGCAGAAAAACTAGTTCATGCATTTGTTACCTCCAGATTGGATTATTGTAACTCTCTTTTGTCAGGGTGCTCTGGCAAGTCTCTAAAGACTCTTCAACTGGTCCAGAACGCTGCAGCTTGTGTACTGACCAGAACTAGGAAAAGGGACCACATTGCTCTTGTCTTGGCTTCTCTGCACTGGCTCCCTATACAGTCTAGAATAGAATTCAAGATCCTTCTTCTCACCTACAAAGCTCTAAATGGCCAGGCACCATCTTATCTTAAGGAGCTACTAGTGCCGTACTGTCCCTCGAGAGCGTTGCGGTCCCAGAGTGCAGGCCTGCTGGTGGTACCTACAGTCTCTAAGTGTACTATGGGAGGTAAAGCCTTCAGTTATCGGGCTCCTCTCCTCTGGAACCGTCTTCCAGCCGGGGTCCGGGAGGCAGACACAACTTTCCTTTTTGATAAATCTTATAGTTAGTGCTGGTGTAGACCAGTTCTTAGTTATGCTGCTTTTGGCTTAGACTACCGGGGAAACTGGCACCTTGAGCTCCTCTCTCTCTCTCTCTCTCTCTCTCTCTCTCTCTCTCTCTGTGCATATACAGTACATCATATCACTGCATGTATCTATCTGTAAATCTCAGTCACTAACCACCTACTTTCCTGAGAGCTCTTGAGCTCTCTTAGGCTCCTCAAGATCGTTGGTTGACGGCCTGCCAGAACAACTGAATTGAACCTCAACCACCGCCCGATGCTCAGCCTCCACCAATCAGACTGTGACCTCCTTCAACCACCGCCCGACGCTCAGCCTCCACCAATCAGACTGTGACGTCCTTCAACCACCGCCCGACGCTCAGCCTCCACCAATCAGACTGTGACGTCCTTCAACCACCGCCCGACGCTCAGCCTCCACAATCAGACTGTGACGTCCTTCAACCACCGCCCGACGCTCAGCCTCCACCATCAGACTGTGACGTCCTTCAACCACCGCCCGACGCTCAGCCTCCACCAATCAGACTGTGACGTCCTTCAACCACCGCCCGACGCTCAGCCTCCACCATCAGACTGTGACCTCCTTCAACCACCGCCCGACGCTCAGCCTCCACCAATCAGACTGTGACCTCCTTCAACCACCGCCCGACGCTCAGCCTCCACCAATCAGACTGTGACCTCCTTCAACCACCGCCCGACGCTCAGCCTCCACCATCAGACTGTGACCTCCTTAAACCACCGCCCGACGCTCAGCCTCCACCAATCAGACTGTGACCTCCTTCAACCACCGCCCGACGCTCAGCCTCCACCATCAGACTGTGACCTCCTTAAACCACCGCCCGACGCTCAGCCTCCACCAATCAGACTGTGACCTCCTTCAACCACCGCCCGACGCTCAGCCTCCACCATCAGACTGTGACCTCCTTCAACCACCGCCCGACGCTCAGCCTCCACCATCAGACTGTGACCTCCTTAAACCACCGCCGACGCTCAGCCTCCACCAATCAGACTGTGACCTCCTTCAACCACCGCCCGACGCTCAGCCTCCACCAATCAGACTGTGACCTCCTTCAACCACCGCCCGACGCTCAGCCTCCACCATCAGACTGTGACCTCCTTCAACCACCGCCCGACGCTCAGCCTCCACCAATCAGACTGTGACCTCCTTCAACCACCGCCCGACGCTCAGCCTCCACCAATCAGACTGTGACCTCCTTCAACCACCGCCCGACGCTCAGCCTCCACCATCAGACTGTGACCTCCTTCAACCACCGCCTGACGCTCAGCCTCCACCAATCAGACTGTGACCTCCTTCAACCACCGCCCGACGCTCAGCCTCCACCATCAGACTGTGACGTCCTTCAACCACCGCCCGACGCTCAGCCTCCACCATCAGACTGTGACCTCCTTCAACCACCGCCCGACGCCCAGCCTCCACCAATCAGACTGTGACCTCCTTCAACCACCGCCCGACGCTCAGCCTCCACCAATCAGACTGTGACCTCCTTCAACCACCGCCCGACGCTCAGCCTCCACCATCAGACTGTGACCTCCTTCAACCACCGCCCGACGCCCAGCCTCCACCAATCAGACTGTGACGTCCTTCAACCACCGCCCGACGCTCAGCCTCCACCATCAGACTGTGACCTCCTTCAACCACCGCCCGACGCTCAGCCTCCACCATCAGACTGTGACCTCCTTCAACCACCGCCCGACGCTCAGCCTCCACCATCAGACTGTGACCTCCTTCAACCACCGCCGTCTACCTTCACACACGACCTGCTCCGACCTCCACCTCAGTGGGGAGGAAGTGTGGACAACAGGAAGGAGAGGAATACAAAGGAGAAATCCTTCCTGCAGATTATCACATATGATCTTTGAAAAGCATCTCCAGATAACACTCTTTATGAATTGGCGCTTTATAAATAAAGATTGATTGACAACTCAACCGTGTAGACTGATGGGCAGCGAGATCCAGGACATCAGCGGGGTCGTCATGTGGGAAACTCCCTTAAACAGAGTTTACCCTATTAGTCCAACAACACCTCGGGAAGGCCGGGAGCCCCAGCGTCTCAGAGTCACCCCCCCCCCCCCCCCCCCACACACACACACACACACACACACACACACACACAGAGCTTCTATATCGTACCTTCTTAACCACACGGCACACTGTTCACTCTGTACATTCAACATACCCCCTACTACATGGCCCCTAACGGCCCCCATGGGCCCTTTGATGCTGATTAGAGCTCTCAAGAACAGCTGTCCATGCTGTCCTCTGTCTCTGGTCACTTCCTGTCAGCACCTGTCCTCTGTCTCTGGTCACTTCCTGTCAGCACCTGTCCTCTGTCTCTGGTCACTTCCTGTCAGCACCTGTCCTCTGTCTCTGGTCACTTCCTGTCAGCACCTGTCCTCTGTCTCTGGTCACTTCCTGTCAGCACCTGTCCTCTGTCTCTGGTCACTTCCTGCCAGCACCTGTCCTCTGTCTCTGGTCACTTCCTGCCAGCACCTGTCCTCTGTCTCTGGTCACTTCCTGTCAGCACCTGTCCTCTGTCTCTGGTCACTTCCTGCCAGCACCTGTCCTCTGTCTCTGGTCACTTCCTGCCAGCACCTGTCCTCTGTCTCTGGTCACTTCCTGCCAGCACCTGTCCTCTGTCTCTGGTCACTTCCTGCCAGCACCTGTCCTCTGTCTCTGGTCACTTCCTGCCAGCACCTGTCCTCTGTCTCTGGTCACTTCCTGCCAGCACCTGTCCTCTGTCTCTGGTCACTTCCTGCCAGCACCTGTCCTCTGTCTCTGGTCACTTCCTGCCAGCACCTGTCCTCTGTCTCTGGTCACTTCCTGTCAGCACCTGTCCTCTGTCTCTGGTCACTTCCTGTCAGCACCTGTGCTCTGTCTCTGGTCACTTCCTGTCAGCACCTGTCCTCTGTCTCTGGTCACTTCCTGCCAGCACCTGTCCTCTGTCTCTGGTCACTTCCTGTCAGCACCTGTGCTCTGTCTCTGGTCACTTCCTGTCAGCACCTGTGCTCTGTCTCTGGTCACTTCCTGTCAGCACCTGTCCTCTGTCTCTGGTCACTTCCTGTCAGCACCTGTGCTCTGTCTCTGGTCACTTCCTGTCAGCACCTGTGCTCTGTCTCTGGTCACTTCCTGTCAGCACCTGTGTGTCTGCTCAGACTTAAAGCTGTCTGTTTTCACTTCCTGTCGTTGTCTCCTCTCTTGTGTTCTTTCTCTCTGATGTTTGTCTCTTTAGATAAAAGATTCTGATAAATGAATTGTCGATAAGATGAATCTGTTTATTCTGAGAACGTTGTTACAGGATGAAAAATGGAAAAGGAAGAGTAAAGATGTGGAAGCATCCAAAGAGTTTCACTGACTCTGGAAGTTTAATCTTTAAAGCATCATTCAGTCTCCGACATGCCTTCTTCTTCTTCTTCTTCTTCTTCTTCTTCTTCTTCTTCTTCTTCTTCTTCTTCTTTAAAATTTAACTAAAAACCTCTCCATGAATCCTTGTCCTCCTGTTTCTGACTTCAGAGGAGAGTGTGTGTCGCTGTGTCAGGTGGCTCAGTCACATTTCTACATCTGTGCTGATTTAACACACACACACACACACTCTGAAAGCACCTCCCTCTCAGTAGGTTTCCTCCTCAGTCGGAGGGAGCTGCAGAGGACCAACAGGACGAGTCAGTTCTGATCGTGGACTCTGAGAGACGCACACACAGACACACACCGTCACCATGAGGTTCGAGGAGATCCTGGACGACGTTGGCGGCTTCTCCAGGTTCCAGTTCATGATCCTGTTGATCCTGTGCCTCCCTCGAGCCATCCTCCCCCTCCACTTCCTCCTGCACAACTTTGTGTCTGCGACGCCTTCTCACCGCTGCGCCCTCGCCGGCCCTGATGACGGGGACGGGGTGTCACAGAGCGCCGACCCCGGGTCCCTGGCCCTCAGGATCCCCCGCCAGGAGGACGGCTCCTTCAGCTCCTGCAGAGTTTACGACCCCCCCCTCAGCCCGGACTTTGACCAGGGTAACATGACGGCACCTTGCCCGCACGGCTGGATCTACGACCAATCACAGTTCAGCTCCACGACCGCCACAGAGGTAAGAAGAAAATAAATCTGCTTCAAATAAAACATTTAACCAATGAGACGAGTCTCACCTGGTCCACAGGTGAGCACGGGACAGGTTCATTAGAGGGTTGATGTCGGGCTCTGAGTTAAAGTTTGTCATCATCAAAGTAACTGATGGAGAAAGATAATGATGTGATTAAAGTGAGCTGCTGTGGTTTCAGGACAAAGATGAGTGGTGACATTGTGTCTTTAATACAGTCAGCCGTCTGTTTGTGTTCATTTCAAACAGTCCAAGAAGAAGAAGAAGAAGCTTCAGAGTGTTGATTTAATAAAAACATGTCACACATCGTCTCTCTGATGGACTTCCTGTCACACACGTTTTGTTTTTAGGAAAAAGCAACACTTGGTTTTCAGTGAGTCTGAGCAGATTTCATGGTTGATAATCTGCTTAAATAACAGAAGCAGAAGCAAACACATGATTCCATTCATTGTTAAGTGAACCTCGAAAAAAAAAAACACGCTGGCACAGGGCGCCACAATCCAGGAATCAAAAGTCTCTCGGTGCGGCGTGACACACACTCAGCCGGTTATTAAACTGAGGCCGTTATTCTCTAATCCACTCAGAGCTCACGCCTGTCTTTGATATCAGCTGGACAATGTGCGGGCTTTAATCAGGGACGCTTTAACAACACACTGCATTCTGCCTGACGTCCAGCAGGGGGCCAAGCACAGAATGTATAAAACATGGACGTCCTCACCCATTGGTTTCTGAAGTTTTGAAGCCCAGCGATGGCGGCAGCCATGTTTGAAATGCAGAATCAATCTCACTGTCAGCGAGAGGAGGAGCGGAGGCGGGGCTTAAAGGTTAAGGTCTCTCAGGCAGGATCCACAGGAAGTTGAGGAGCTAACGCTGCTGTGCTGCTCCGCTGTGAGGAGGAGTGTATTTATCTTTTTATAAATCTGTACCCGTGCTGTGTGACTCTGAGGAGGACGCAGTGCGTTTAGACGTTGATCCTGCCTGAAAGACGGAGGCCACTGACTGACTATTTTGAACGTCTTTCCTCCATTTGGCTGGATCACAACAGTGTCCTTCTACTAAACCCCTCCCCCGTCCTCCTCGTGGTCACCTGTCGTGTCGGCGCTCTGTGAGAAACCTTTAGAGCAGCTTTAATGATTTTATTCATCTGAGACTGGAGTCAGTAAAAACACTCAGAACAGCTGCTGTCTCTTTAAGACCCGCCCCATCCCCATGTGCCCACTCTCTTCTGATTGGTCAGCTCTCTGGAAGCCTTCTGCAGGGCTGCCAGAGGAGGGCTGCTCTCCAGGTCTGGGAGAAGAGTCTCTTTAAGAGGTTTCAGAGGCTTGAAGCCGTCTGGGGAAGTTCTTGGTTTCATATCGGGGAGCTATGGCGTGATTTACAGAAGAAGGCGTTTAGCGTCCCCTGCAGACTCATCCTGGGATTACTCCAACATACGTTTACCTCCTGATCTGAAACTTTGCCCACGTGTAGTTTCGTCGTCCAGCATTGCAGCACTATATGTGAATTTGAAATCAGGAGAAAGACGGTGAAGTCAAACTGTGTGTGTGTTTGTTGCTCTCAGCTCTGTGTTCACTGACGGGACGGCGTTCGTCTCTGTCAAGCTGCCACGCCTGCCAGCTGAGGAACGCCTTTTGCAGCGGCATAATGGCGACTTTTTTTTTAACTTCCTGCTCCTCTCAAGCGCCGCCCTCTTGTCCAAATATGGTCACTCCCGGCTGTGAGAACTTCTTCCCAAAGCCAGATATTCCCAAGAAAATGTAGTTTCCAAATGTGTTTGATAGCGTGACCTTGAATTGGAGATTAACCACAGACAATAAACGGTTTAATGATTGTTGATGTAACCTGTGTGTGTGTGTGTGTGTCTGCAGTGGGATCTGGTGTGTGAAGACAAACAGCTGAATCAAGCCCTCGCCACCTACTTCTTCCTCGGGGTCACGTTTGGAGCCATCTTGTTCGGGCAGCTTTCTGACAAGTGAGTTCTTCAGAGAAAGAGCGACAGTTTCCTTTTAGGAGGAAGTTCTTCTAAAGATCATTAAACGATTGAAGCGGCTGAGCTTCTCACACAAAGACACACACACACAAATCATCAGACATAACTGAATACTGATGAACATGAAGAAAAGGTCAAATTAAAACTTAAAAGGCTGTAAACAAATCAACAAAACAAAACAAACATTGTGTATTTTACATTAATAAAATAGAAATTGTTAGGCTTTTATTTTGAAATGTTTACTGTATTCAGCTGAGAGAACTTTACTTGCTGTTTGAATTCAGCCGTGCTTTTATTTTGAAATAAAGCCAGTACCATCCTGTAGATGGAAGGTAGACGTTAACCTGCAGGGGGGACTGAAGGCTAGCAGTGCTAACGTTAGCCACAACTAATGAACATAAATGTCCTTGTTTACCCGCCAATCATTTGAAAAACAATAAGCTCAGTCGCCATGGATCATCCTACTCTGCACACGTTTAGGTGAGCAGGGTTCAAATCTGCTTCCTGGCAAAGCGGCAGCCTCCATGCAAACTCCTGCAGTTCCTGGAGTGTCCACTAGAGGCTGGCTGCAGAAGCACAGGAAGTCACATACACACCCATTCTAAAAAGTCTGTTTTTACAGCAGAGATGAACATGTTTACAGCCTGGTTCAAAAAACCAAATAGGTGTGATTAGCTCATGTCTGGATGGACACACACTGTACGGGGGGTGAATGTTTTGATGACTCATCAGTTTTGATTTGATGAAGGATAAGAGTTATTCACAATAAGGCGTGTAGCTGACCTGATTGACAGGTGGGCGCGGTGTAACGGTTTGTCAGGAGGTTTAAAACCCGCCTCAGCTCCAGCTCTCAGCCTGTCGTTAGGTTGACTGAAAGTTAGACTGAGACAGCATTTCCAGCATGGAGACCGCCATCGATGGGACTCCAGCGCCCCCTGCAGGAACAGACGGGGGACGCCATCGATGGGACTCCAGCGCCCCCTGCAGGATCAGACGGGGGACGCCATCGATGGGACTCCAGCGCCCCCTGCAGGGACAGACGGGGGACGTCACTCAGGCTTCAAACTTTAATGTTTACAGTTTGAAACAAGTTGAAAAGCGTGGTGTTAACTATGAGGAGGTTACAGACCTTTAGACAAACAAACAGCTGAACCAGAGTCTCCAACAAACCAGGAGATAAAATCAGCTGCAGAGTCAGCTGCTGCTCTGCTGACACAAACCTGTGTGTGTGTGTGTGTGTGTGTGTGTGTCTGTGTGTGTGTGTGTGTGTGTGTGTGTGTGTGTGTGTGTGTGTGTGTGTGTGTGTGTGCTGTGTGTGTGTGTGTGTGTCTCTGTGTATGTCTGTGTGTGTGTGTGTGTGTGTGTGTGTGTGTCTGTGTGTGTCTGTGTGTGTGTGTCTGTGTGTGTGTGTGTGTGTGTGTGTGTCTGTGTGTGTGTGTGTGTTTGTGTGTGTGTTTGTGTGTATGTTTATAAGACAACTGCTCCACATGACTCTTTATTAAATAAACTCAAAATGTCAGCTCACTAATAAGTCAACTGCATCGATTATCAAAACCAGAAAACTGTCTCCACTTAAGTTGATGTCTACACACACACACACACACACACACACACACACACACAGACACACACAGACACACACACACACACACACACAGACACACACACACACACACACACACAGACACACACACACACACACACACACACACACACACACACACACACACACACACACACACACACACACACACACACACACAGACATACACACACAGACGTGCAGTATGTCTGAGTTTGTGTGTCATTGAATCTGAGCCCCTCGACGCTCAGACTGAAGATCTAACCCATCACGACTCGGGTTAATGGATTAATAAAGACCTGGTCCTCCTTCAGTCCGTCTCTAATCGAGGACGGGTCCTTCGAGGTCGACTCCTAGAAAGAGCAGTTGAAGAATAAAAGTCAGTGAATGAATCAATGGTTAATATTCTTCACGTTGGGTCAGAGGAGATTTATGTTTTCTGGTAATACGAGACTCATGAGACGGATTCATTTCACATCGCATGGTCTTTCAACGTACACAAATAATCCTCACACACTTATTAACTTACTGATTTACTAATAAAGTACTGTGTCAGATTCTGGACATGTGAAGGACACATAGAGTTACAGAAGATCTCTAACCACCAAATTACACATTCTCCATGAGCAGCAGGAGAACTACAAGATCACAGGAGAACTACAAGATCACAGGAGAACTACAAGATCACAAGAGAACTACAAGATCACATGAGAACTACAAGATCACAAGAGAACTACAAGATCACAGAACTACAAGATCACATGAGAACTACAAGATCACAGGAGAACTACAAGATCACAAGAGAACTACAAGATCACATGAGAACTACAAGATCACAAGAGAACTACAAGATCACAGAACTACAAGATCACATGAGAACTACAAGATCACAAGAGAACTACAAGATCACATGAGAACTACAAGATCACAGGAGAACTACAAGATCACAGGAGAACTACAAGATCTCAGGAGAACTACAAGATCACATGAGAACTACAAGATCACAAGAGAACTACAAGATCACAGAACTACAAGATCACAGGAGAACTACAAGATCACAGGAGAACTACAAGATCACATGAGAACTACAAGATCACATGAGAACTACAAGATCACAAGAGAACTACAAGATCACATGAGAACTACAAGATCACAAGAGAACTACAAGATCACAGAACTACAAGATCACATGAGAACTACAAGATCACAGGAGAACTACAAGATCACAAGAGAACTACAAGATCTCAGGAGAACTACGAGATCACAAGAGAACTACAAGATCACAGGAGAACTACGAGATCACAGGAGAACTACAAGATTACAGGAGAACTACAAGATCACAGGAGAACTACGAGATCACAGGAGAACTACAAGATTACAGGAGAACTACAAGATTACAGGAGAACTACAAGATCACAGGAGAACTACAAGATCTCAAGAGAACTACAAGATCACATGAGAACTACAAGATCACAAGAGAACTACAAGATCACAGAACTACAAGATCACATGAGAACTACAAGATCACAAGAGAACTACAAGATCACATGAGAACTACAAGATCACAGGAGAACTACAAGATCACAGGAGAACTACAAGATCTCAGGAGAACTACAAGATCACATGAGAACTACAAGATCACAAGAGAACTACAAGATCACAGAACTACAAGATCACAGGAGAACTACAAGATCACAGGAGAACTACAAGATCACATGAGAACTACAAGATCACATGAGAACTACAAGATCACAAGAGAACTACAAGATCACATGAGAACTACAAGATCACAAGAGAACTACAAGATCACAGAACTACAAGATCACATGAGAACTACAAGATCACAGGAGAACTACAAGATCACAAGAGAACTACAAGATCTCAGGAGAACTACGAGATCACAAGAGAACTACAAGATCACAGGAGAACTACGAGATCACAGGAGAACTACAAGATTACAGGAGAACTACAAGATCACAGGAGAACTACGAGATCACAGGAGAACTACAAGATTACAGGAGAACTACAAGATTACAGGAGAACTACAAGATCACAGGAGAACTACAAGATCACAGGAGAACTACAAGATCACAAGAGAACTACAAGATCACAGAACTACAAGATCACGAGAACTACAAGATTACAGAACTACAAGATCACATGAGAACTACAAGATCACAGGAGAACTACAAGATCACAGGAGAACTACAAGATCACAAGAGAACTACAAGATCACAGGAGAACTACAAGATCACAAGAGAACTACAAGATCACAGAACTACAAGATCACGAGAACTACAAGATCACAGAACTACAAGATCACATGAGAACTACAAGATCTCAGGAGAACTACAACTCTGATGAGTTGACGCTGCAGCCGTCCAGAAAAGTGACGTTTTGGTTTGTTTGTTTATTTATTTGTTTGTTTGTTTTTTTGTTGCAGGTTTGGCCGTAAGTCGATGCTTCTCCTGGCGTTACTCTTCTCTAGCATGCTGGGCGTCACCTCCGCCTTCTCCACCTCCTACGTCATGTTCGCCGTCTCCAGAGCACTGTGCGGCGTGGCGCTTAGCGGGCTGTCCATCATCGGCGTCGTCCTCGGTAAGAACCTCACTGACATTCTCAGATTTTTATTTCTAACATTTGACAAAGGTATGAAAGAAGTTTTACTTTGAAAAACCTTTTTTGTAAGTTAAGTCTGTTCATTTCGGTACAGGTCAATAAAATATCATTTTGAAGATACTGAACTCAAAGAATAAATGATCTCTAGATTCAGGCTTTAATCACTGAAGTGAGTTCGACATTAAAACAATGCTGAGTGCCATATCTGAAAAAAAAACAGGAAGTCAGAGGCGTTTTCCTTTTTCTGACAATTTAACTGTGAAGTAAACTCAGGTTGTTCTTTTAATAAAAAGGTTCAGGGTCAATCATAAGTCACAGATATTTGATGGAATCAACTGAAAGAAAAAACATCTAGAAATATAAAGAAATGTAGAAAACAGTATCATCAGCATACTGTTACATACGGACATAATGTAGGTAAGAAAAAGATAAAAGTGGTCCGAATGTTGAAACCTTTGAAAACACCATGATCATCAACTAAACAGGGGGCGGCAGTAGCTCGGTCTGTAGGGACCAGGGTTTGGAACCAGATGGTCACCAGTTCAAGTCCCTGTGAGACCAAATCTGGACGTTGGTCTGGTAAATGGAGAGCCCCCCCCCCCCCCTCACCCCGACATCCCTCCACCAGTGCATGACCACAGGATCCTGTTTGTGCATGTGTGTGTGTGTAGCATGTCTGGGATCATTAAAGTTTATCTTCTTAAATATCGACCCCCTGTCATCTGTTATAAGGAAGGCATTAGACCAGAAGAGACTGTTTTAAATCTAACCAACAGATCAAAGCTGATCAAACGGACTCTGTTGTTACTTTTAGCAAAAGGCAGAATGAAACTGTCACTGTCACATTTTAAAATCAAACTTGGTCTCTGAATGATTTTAAATATTTCACTTCAGTCGTTTGTGACCGCTCAATGTCTGCTCAGGTATTGAGTGGACGGATGTGAAACACCGAACCTTCACCGGCACAGTCATGAGTTTGTCCTGGAGCGCTGGAAACATGCTTCTGGCTTTGATGGCCTACTTCATACGAGACTGGAGACACCTGACGTTGGCGGTGACGGCGCCCTGCACTGCTGCCATCATCGCCTGGTGGTAAGGTGGATGCTAGGAGAACATACAGTTGATGTCTTAACGTGTTTATAAATAACACTTTCCTCTGTTTGGGTTCAGGTGGCTGCCGGAGTCGGCACGCTGGCTGCTGGCTAACGGCAGGATAGAGGAAGCCAAGAAGTATTTGGTTCAGTGCGCTAAAATGAACGGGAAGAACGAGTACACGTCCAAACTGGACTCTGAGGTACAGCTAGCTCTGTTTGAACATGTAATGTGACCCATGCATATCTATGTCATGACATGAAAATATATGGTATTTAAATATAATATAAAAGATAAATAAAGAAAGGTTTAGCTATCTTCTCTGTGCGACTACCACCGTTATAGAGCTCTGAAGTCCTGGACTACATGGTCTTAGTTTCCCTACAGACACAGATTCAATTGCCGGTATCCCCAAATCCAAATAGATTTTCTTTAACAATCCACCCAGGAACGTCTTCCCAAGGATGTAGGCTCACAGTTTGCTCTGTCTGTGTCGGGCGCAGCCCTAAGCTGCCCCTGAAAGCCCCCACATGGTGCTGAGATTGCAAAACCAACCCACAATCTTTACACCGCAACACTTGATCACTTGTAATCTGTGAAATTTAACCATTCCTGGAAGCTAAAACGCTTCTGACAGAGAGGAATGATGTAATTTGACTAACTTCGAGGCAAAGCCACACCCCGATGCAATGAATATTTCAGGGTGTGTCTAACTTGATCAGCTTCCTGTTTGACACTGTGCTTCTTACAGACTTTGGGGAAGGTCACTGTGTCGGAGGTGGCAGAGAAGACCCACTCTTACCTGGACCTGGTCAGAACACCTCAGCTGAGGAAGATCACACTCTGCTCTGGATTGTTTTGGTACAGAATCACTCTTCAACCTTTGAACTTAAAGGGATATTTTTGTAGTTTGACATATTCTGGTGACTGAAGTGTTGGATTTGCTCCAGCAGATTACTTAACCCTGATACAGGTTGTAATAGCTTCAACATAATCCATAGGGATATGTGTCCAATAAAAGTTGTTGTTCTTGTAACTGACAGGCTAAGATTGTTATTCTAACTGTGTAACAACATTTCAATCAAACTTAATTACTAATTTATTAAAACTTATTTAACTCTAGTTTAGGAAAAGATAAATATGCAATCTCTTTGGCGATTAGACTCCGTCATGATGACTTCATACTTTGAGGGGTAGCAAGGCCGACAGCAAACAGTGATGGTGGTGGTGATAGCGCCCCTGATGGATTCTAGATACTGGTGGTGGTGGTGATAGCGCCCCTGATGGATTCTAGACACTGGTGGTGGTGGTGATAGCGCCCCTGATGGATTCTAGACACTGGTGGTGGTGGTGATAGCGCCCCTGATGGATTCTAGACACTGTTGGTGGTGGTGACAGCGCCCCTGATGGATTCTAGACACTGGTGGTGGTGGTGACAGCGCCCCTGATGGATTCTAGACACTGGTGGTGGTGGTGACAGCGCCCCTGATGGATTCTAGACACTGGTGGTGGTGGTGACAGCGCCCCTGATGGATTCTAGACACTGGTGGTGGTGGTGATAGCGCCCCTGATGGATTCTAGATACTGGTGGTGGTGGTGATAGCGCCCCTGATGGATTCTAGATACTGGTGGTGGTGGTGATAGCGCCCCTGATGGATTCTAGACACTGGTGGTGGTGGTGATAGCGCCCCTGATGGATTCTAGACACTGGTGGTGGTGGTGACAGCGCCCCTGATGGATTCTAGACACTGGTGGTGGTGGTGACAGCGCCCCTGATGGATTCTAGACACTGGTGGTGGTGGTGATAGCGCCCTGATGGATTCTAGACACTGGTGGTGGTGATAGCGCCCCTGATGGATTCTAGATACTGGTGGTGGTGGTGACAGCGCCCCTGATGGATTCTAGACACTGGTGGTGGTGGTGACAGCGCCCCTGATGGATTCTAGACACTGGTGGTGGTGGTGACAGCGCCCCTGATGGATTCTAGATACTGGTGGTGGTGGTGACAGCGCCCCTGATGGATTCTAGACACTGGTGGTGGTGGTGACAGCGCCCCTGATGGATTCTAGATACTGGTGGTGGTGGTGACAGCGCCCCTGATGGATTCTAGACACTGGTGGTGGTGGTGACAGCGCCCCTGATGGATTCTAGACACTAGTGGTGGTGGTGATAGCGCCCCTGATGGATTCTAGATACTGGTGGTGGTGGTGACAGCGCCCCTGATGGATTCTAGACACTGGTGGTGGTGGTGATAGCGCCCCTGATGGATTCTAGATACTGGTGGTGGTGGTGACAGCGCCCCTGATGGATTCTAGACACTGGTGGTGGTGGTGACAGCGCCCCTGATGGATTCTAGACACTGGTGGTGGTGGTGATAGCGCCCCTGATGGATTCTAGACACTGGTGGTGGTGGTGATAGCGCCCCTGATGGATTCTAGATACTGGTGGTGGTGGTGACAGCGCCCCTGATGGATTCTAGACACTGGTGGTGGTGGTGACAGCGCCCCTGATGGATTCTAGACACTGGTGGTGGTGGTGACAGCGCCCCTGATGGATTCTAGACACTGGTGGTGGTGGTGACAGCGCCCCTGATGGATTCTAGATACTGGTGGTGGTGGTGACAGCGCCCCTGATGGATTCTAGACACTGGTGGTGGTGGTGATAGCGCCCCTGATGGATTCTAGATACTGGTGGTGGTGGTGACAGCGCCCCTGATGGATTCTAGACACTGGTGGTGGTGGTGACAGCGCCCCTGATGGATTCTAGATACTGGTGGTGGTGGTGACAGCGCCCTGATGGATTCTAGATACTGGTGGTGGTGGTGACAGCGCCCCTGATGGATTCTAGACACTGGTGGTGGTGGTGACAGCGCCCCTGATGGATTCTAGACACTGGTGGTGGTGGTGACAGCGCCCCTGATGGATTCTAGACACTGGTGGTGGTGGTGACAGCGCCCCTGATGGATTCTAGACACTGGTGGTGGTGGTGACAGCGCCCCTGATGGATTCTAGACACTGGTGGTGGTGGTGACAGCGCCCCTGATGGATTCTAGACACTGGTGGTGGTGGTGACAGCGCCCCTGATGGATTCTAGACACTGGTGGTGGTGGTGACAGCGCCCCTGATGGATTCTAGACACTGGTGGTGGTGGTGATAGCGCCCCTGATGGATTCTAGATACTGGTGGTGGTGGTGACAGCGCCCCTGATGGATTCTAGATACTGGTGGTGGTGGTGATAGCGCCCCTGATGGATTCTAGACACTAGTGGTGGTGGTGATAGCGCCCCTGATGGATTCTAGACACTGGTGGTGGTGGTGATAGCGCCCCTGATGGATTCTAGATACTGGTGGTGGTGGTGATAGCGCCCCTGATGGATTCTAGATACTGGTGGTGGTGGTGATAGCGCCCCTGATGGACTGACTGCAGAAGAAAGTCAACAGATTTTAAAATGGGACAGCAGCAGGATGAGTGGTTGAGAGAGGTTCTGGCAGAATCTGGTTGGTTGATTACTTAAAGAGTAAACGCCCACAGTCAGCAGTTCACCACAGCAGGGAGAAGGGGGGATTGGAATAGAGGGAGTGGATAAACAATTAATGTGTGAGAGAATATAAGGACACATTTACTGTTCTTCTTTCTGTGATGATGTCACATAATTAGAATAACAATTCCAAGCTTGATCCAAAGGCAACTGGTTGAAGATCTTTAAAAACAATCTAAGCCTATCAGTGGAAAAAGCACTGGACGCACTTGGACCAGTTGTTGGAGGGCGTTACGTTACATGCATTTTGTGCCTATTCATCGTGGAAACCCCAGTAAGAGTGAAACCAGGACTCAGGATGTTGTCATCTGTTTGTTCAAACTGGTCCTTCTTGTACCTGCAGGTTTGCCGTCGCCTTCCTGTACTACGGGATCAGTTTCAGGATCTCAGGTTTTGGTGTCAGTATCTACCTCACTCAGTTCATCTATGGCGCCATCGAAGCTCCCGCCAAAATCTTCACCTTCTTTGTCCTGAACTGGATCGGCAGGCGAAACGGCCAGGCGTGGTTTCTGATCACAACAGGAGCTCTAATTGGAATCAACACGGCCATACCTTTTGGTGACATCACTTCCTGTCTGCTTACACACAAACACACCTGACACTTTGTTTCCTGACGCTCACACACGTTTGGTAACCTCTCTCACAGAGTACACGATGGTTCGTATGTGCATCGCCGTCGTGTCCAAGGGCTTCTCAGAGGCGGCGTTCACCACGGCGTTCCTTTACACGGCTGAACTCTTCCCAACAGTCCTGAGGTAAACCCTGAACCCGACACAATGAGGCTCCACTTTAAGGACCTTACTGATGCTTCCTTAACCGACACTTTCAGAGTTTGAACCTGATACAAGAAACATAAACTGTTAGTGGAAACGTTTGAACCACTTTCCAAAAATTATTTTATTTCGAAAGGAGGTGTTACGAGGTACGGTTTAAGTCCACCACAGCCAGCACAGCCGCTGGTCAGACGACTGATACAGAAGCTAAGCTAAGTTCTGCTGTGGGCGGGGATTCAAAGAGACATGGACGATAGCAACTTAAAAAACGTAGACTTTACTTTGAACATGCTGACTCCCTGACCTTTCGTACTGTGTCTGTACGACCCTAATTCCTAAAAAGTTGGGACGAGACGTTACAGTCAGCTGAGTCAGTGGGGGTGAACAGCGCTGTGTGTGTGTGTGTGTGTGTGTGTGTGTGTGTGTGTGTGTGTGTGTGTGTGCACATGTCTGACTGTGCGTGTGACGCCAATATCACGCCAGCAGGATCACTATGAACATACAAAGACGTGATGTCAGCTGAGCTTTAGCGGGGAAACAGTCTTGTGAAAGACGTTCCTGTAAAGCAGCCGAACACTTTATTAATGTTTCTTAATGTAAAGAATGAATCTGTGCATTTCATCGTCCACAGTTCAGAACATCCTTCACAGATTCAGAGAATATGCAAAAAACAAATATTGGATTGGCTGTGATGTCAGGGCCCTCAAACGGTGCTGCATTCAAAACAGACACGGCTCACTGCACGTGCTCAGGAACACCCCCAAAAACCAAAGTCTGTAAACACAGCTCATCGCTGCAGTTAGCTGGAACTCTACCGAGCAAAGAGGAAACTGTGTTTAAACGAGAATAAGACAGGGGGTTCACTAAGTTTAACAAATCTTCACATTCTGTTATTTACATTTTAAATAACATCCCAATGTTATAGGGCTTGGTGTTGTTAATGCAACGGGGATTTAACGGGGAAGTCCAACAGTGCATCATGTTCAAAGTCCCGCCCACAATAGCTCAGCTCAGCTACGCCTGGCGTGATTTAAACACCTTTAAATAAACGTGTTCAGTAGAAGTTATAAAGTTAGTAACATGACAACACAGGCAGCAGAATCCGTCACATTCAACCACTGCAGAGGCGACACCATGTTTGTGATTTCCAGTACAAAGAAAGAACAGTGGCCATTTTTTCCAACATGTGTGTATTTGTCTCTTCTCTGTCCTCAGGTCTGACGCGATGTGTCGCTGAGTTGTGAGTTTGAATTGATCACTTGCATCATCTTGTCCTGATGTGATTGGTGTTATCTGATCTTAATGGATAAGCTGTCATGCTCCTAAATCACAGACCAGTAGATGTGAATAAAACTTGTTCATCCTAAAAAACAACAACCATGTAGGCCTCGCTAGCTGCTGAAGCTAACTATCCAACCAGCTAAAAAGTCCCCAATAAAACTCCACAAAATGTTGCAGACTCTCATGAAGTTTACTGAGGTTTCTTTTTAGTGAAACTGCAAACAATACAGAAGCTAATGTAGCCACACGGCGCTAGCATATAGCATCTTAAACAAATGAATGGTAAAGTTAGCACTGGCTTAGCGGTTAGGATCTACATAGATACAAACAACATCCTTTCTAAATGAATACACATAGCATCAACATTTATACTCACAGACGTTTCTTTAGCGTTCAGGAAAGAGAAGAAACATGAAGCTAGCGACCATTTTTTAAATGGTGATTAATCGTATTTGATAGTAGAAGTTTCTTGCTGACATCCGTCTGATAATCTGTTCATTCAGCTTTAGGTTGACACTCAAACTCAAAGGACTTTAAGACATTTGAACAATGTGTGATGTCATAAGGTGGATATTACTACGGGGAGACACTGAGGACGACTATCTATGGGGAGCCTGAAGGGACAAAATAGCATGAGATTAATCATGATTAAAATAGTTCATGCTGACACATATGCAATGCTTTCCTGAAAAAGGTGAATTAACCAAGCAGCAACCTCCGGTGTTGAAACATGAAGCTGATGCTGAAGTTTAACATCCTGCAGTTCCTGGAGTGTCCACTAGAGGCTGGCTGCAGAAGCACAGGAAGTCACATACACACCCATTCTAAAAAGCCTGTTTTTACAGCAGAGATGAACATGTTTACAGCCTGGTTCAAAAAACCAAATAGGTGTGATTAGCTCATGTCTGGATGGACACACACTGTACGGGGGGTGAATGTTTTGATGACTCATCAGTTTTGATTTGATGAAGGATAAGAGTTATTCACAATAAGGCGTGTAGCTGACCTGATTGACAGGTGGGCGCGGTGTAACGGTTTGTCAGGAGGTTTAAAACCCGCCTCAGCTCCAGCTCTCAGCCTGTCGTTAGGTTGACTGAAAGTTAGACTGAGACAGCATTTCCAGAATGGAGACCGCCATCGATGGGACTCCAGCGCCCCCTGCAGGGACAGACGGGGGACATTTTAACCCACATAACTTTTAAAACTGAGCTTGTTTTGAATAAACTTTAATAAATGGTGTCACAATAAAGAGAAATATCGTCTGATATAAGAATACTTTGACCATTTAAAAATAGAGTGATTATAAAAGAGGCGTTAAGCGTTAATCTGTAAACAAAGGAAGTGCCTTTATGTAAGTCAGACAGCATTTCACAATAAAAGCACCCGGGGCAGAGATGGGCGTTTTGGCTCCTTACTGAACGCTCTCTAAAGTACAGGAGGCGTTGTGCTCCATGATCCATGTTAGCATGTAAGAGCGTGGTATGGATGTTTACCGGAAACAGAGTTCAGCAGAAGTCAAACGTTTTCATGAGAGCTGATATTTAAGGGTTGAGTAACGGGCGTGTGGCCAGCTAATGATCTGCACGCTGTTGAAGTCTTCACGTCACGGAATCCAAACATCAGCAGACTTTGTCCTGCAGAGCTTTAAACTCTGCAGCAGCTCCTGGAAGCTGCGGCTCAGATTACATCATGAAATACGGTGAAAAGCTTGAATGAGTGGTTACAGGACGAGGGCCAGGAGAGGGTTTAGCAGGTTCTAGACTCGGTGCTGCGGAGACGTGACGTGTCTCTCTGTGTTGTTGGACAGGCAGTGCGGGATCGGATACACCTCGTGTCTCTGTCGGATCGGGAGCTCGCTCGCTCCGCTCGTCATGCTGCTGGAGGACGTCTGGCTCCTCCTGCCGCCGCTGATCTTCGCCGTGACGGGGATCATCAGTGGGAGCTTAGTGTTCATGCTCCCTGAGACGCTCAACGTGCGTCTGCCTGAGAACATCTTCGACGTGGAAGAGGGGAGGTGGAGTATCTTCATGTCTGTAGATTTATCCAAACATCTGGAAGTGTTCAGACAGAAAACTTTAAAAACATCATCTTTATATTCTGCTCTATGCAGACGACTGTGGGATGTGCAGTTTATCTGTTTCTATATTCGATGTTTTGGTTTCATGTCCACGCCTTTTACACTGCGCAAACACGGCATGATTTACTCTATGATACGATGCAAGAATATGACGCCAACGGCACGACCTTCTGACCAACACGAACTAAAGCGAGAACTGAAGCAGGGCGGAAACACGGGTTAAACCATTTGAACCCACAAGCTTTATTGAATCATTCCCGTCAGATACTTAAAAACATAAAGAATAAAGAAAGGACACAACAGGGGGACCCTCGCCAACCGACACGGTTGATAACCTGATAACTGCTCTCATATCTGGCAAACCGAGGGACGTCCAAAACGGCGTGTGTCTTAAAAGCGCCTACCTTCTCTGGTCCAAACAAATCCAGAACATTCAGGAGCAGAATCTAAAGTTAGAAGGAGGACATACTGGCTGCTGCATTGTTGTCAGAGAAGCCAGCACTTCAACATAGCATGTTTCCTTAATGATCAGAGAGTAAGATACCTTTATCATCTCACTCTCTACACAGCTCACTGATTGGACCTTTAATGATCAGAGAGTAAGATACCTTTATCATCTCACTCTCTACACAGCTCACTGATTGGACCTTTAATGATCAGAGAGTAAGATACCTGTATCATCTCACTCTCTACACATCTCACTGATTGGACCTTTAAAACACATTTATTTGAAATCTTCATGTACATTCTTTGTCCGACTGACTTTGTGTGTTTCATTATAATTTAGTGACTCATCATATCAGAGAGAATAACGTCTCTTCTTCTTCCGTGTTCAGACACAGACAATGTGACGCCGATGGGGACGCAAAGATCGAGCTGATGAAGCTGAACTCCAAAGAGACGACAGACGCGCAGGACGACTGACTAGCTGCAGGACGAGCGGCGAGCTCCAGCATTTCCTCGGTACGCTCTCAGAGAGAGTGGAGGCTGCAGGCTGCTGTGGATGGATCGGTGCTTTTTTAATTTTGACATCAGATTGGTGTCAGAATAGAAACAAAGTGTTGTGTGTACAGAGCTGACGTACAGTAGACGTCGTCCTTCTAGTGTTTTTGAGTCCTCAGTGAAGACGAGCTGCTGGTGATACTCAGCTGTCAATCAAAGGACTGAGTTTCAGGTGCTACTCGGCCGTGTGACAGCTGATCCGTGTGTTCAGGAAGTAGTTCCTGACCTGCTGTACAACACCCACTGACTTCAAATTAAGACTCTGCTAATAAAATGTTTTCATCATCTCTGTTGTCTTCTTCTCTGATAAATAAATATATCTGCTACCCGACAGTCCGTCAGGGTCCGGGTGCACTGATGGGTTCTTCTGCCCTGAACAACAGGAACTCAACTGGTTCATAGGTCAGGTGGTGTCAACACCCTTAGAGGTTTAAGTACAAAGATAAACATGAAAATTATAACTGAAAAAACTCTGTTTGGCTCTGATTGGCTGGTTGGTGATGACTCCGCCCCTTTGTCTGTGTGCAGCGTCTTTGAGTGCTGAAGGCAGTGCATGAGGAACTGACGGCCTAGCATCGCTCTCCAATCAGTTCCTGATGCAGTACCATCAAGGCGACCTGAGGCGACCCCGGAGGCGGCCTTCGTCACCACTCGCTCTTTGCTTCGTGTTTCATAGTTACAGCAGAAAGAAAGAGTAACTAGCGTCGAGCTAATCGCTAGTTGGCGGGTTGATGGTGACAGTAGTGCATGATTAAACAGGAAGTGAAGTACTCTGAGCTTAAGACTGTCCCGTGTCTCAGGAGTGGACAGACTCTGATGTTTTTTTTTTTATTCTGTGAAAGAATCATAAAACATCTGAATCTGATTGGCCCCTCCAAAAACCCTAAACTGTGATTGGCTATTTGCCCTCTCAGAGGCGGGATGTGAAAACCAATCACATATCAACATAGCATATTTTCTTTTGTTTATACTTTAAATTGTAAATAAAAACTTTGCACATGTATTTCATGTGACATCACTCTGTCTCAGGAGGGTTCAGGACTGAATCTTTGCCAGTTTGACTTTGAAGGAGTTTGTGTGCTCTCTCTCAAGACGGTGACTTTGACCAAATCTCCACATTAAAAAATGTATGTCACCATGATCTTGTGTTGTAAAGTAGATATTAGTATAATGTGATGTTGTGTCTGTTTTTATCAGTTATGATGATAATAAGACTCAGGTTAATATACAACTACAAGTCCATAAAGAATCTCCAGCTTTACCTGCTGCAACCCTAAAGTGAAGCACAACCATTATAAAACCATTAGAGATCAATTCTACACAAAGTGTTTTTACTTTTGGTCCCTTAAAGTAGATTTTAATGCTTTCAAATGCTTTTGTTCTTAAAGGTCCAATCAGTGAGCTGTGTAGAGAGTGAGATGATAAAGGTATCTTACTCTCTGATCACTAAGGAAACATGCTATGTTGAAGTGCTGGCTTCTCTGACAACAATGCAGCAGCCAGTATGTCCTCCTTCTAACTTTACATTCTGCTCCTGAATGCTCTGGATTTGTTTGGACCAGAGAAGGTAGGCGCTTTTAAGACCCCCTACACGGCCGTTTTGGACGCCCCTCTGTTTGTCAGATATGAGAGCAGTTATCAGGTCAACAGGTGTTGCAGCGATGGAAGCGGTCAAGAGAAGTGGTTCAGATAGAAGTGATTGTACCCGACCTAAAAAGCCTCTGCATGTTTCTAATAAGCTCCACGAGCAGAAACGTGCTCAAACTAGGATCAATATTGGAGATGCTTTTGAAAAATGGAGAGAGGTTAGAACACAGAAAGGTTTACAGACCCATGCAGAGCTGGATAAACACTGAAGCTTCAGAGTCCACCACATGGTGACCTGAGTGAGGGGGGGGGGGGACAGCTCTCTATGATGTTTAGAATTTAGACTGCAGTACCCATTTTAAACACTAGGGGGCAGAGGTACATACTACAGAGCTGTGTGAGCATGAAGGGCAGGGCCGTTCATTATTTATCCTGACTGTCAACAATGGAGGAGAAATCTGTAACGAGAAGCCTTTCGATTATTATTTTTTTTTTTAAAGATGTCAGACATTTGTTTTTGTCCCTTTGAGCAGAACCATTAAAGATCAGTTCAGCAGATCAGCTGATCATCATAAAGCTGTAAAAGCTGAACTTTGTCCTGTTCTGCAGGTTCAGACCGGTTTGGAGTCTTGTAATTGTGCTGGTGATTAAACTGATATCAAACACACCCGACCGAGACACCAGCTGGACTGATCGACTTTCAAGGAAATAAATAAGGCTTGTTGAACTCTGCTGGACGATCTGCTTTTGAAGGTTCCTGTATGACAGCGAGATTTATTTAAGGTAAGAAGAAATATTTCAGATTCTCATCAAATGTCCTTTAATGCAACATTTCCTACAGAAACTCTATCGTGTAAACCTCCTCCTACGAGACAGCGTGTGATGAAGCAGGACAATAAAAAGCTGGATTATAAAAGTTTGATTTGAGACCAGAATAACGAAACGCAGTGATTGGTGGTCAGAAAGCTGTCAGATATTTGGATGTTTGTCGTTGATTTGTTATGAACAGATTCCTGAGGAGATGCACCTGTGATGTTCTCCCTCAGCTGAGGGCGATCAGCTGGGCTGGGAGGCTTTATAGGGTGGTTGTTTGAATCCACAGAGTCGACACAAACTGTCAGCTTTCTGTGTTTTCTGTTTGAGTGAAAATGGCTTTTTTAAGTGCCCACTTTTGGGTCCCAACCCACCAGTTGAGAACCAGTGTCCTAGACCTAAGACATACGAAGTGATTCCCTCAGACATTACGACTGAGGGCAAGATAAGAGTGTGTGTTATGAACACATGGGAGATAAGTTATCTGTTTGCATTACAGCAGTTATCTCTTTTTATCTGGAGGGACAGTTAATACCCAGAGACATGAGTCAAAACCTGAAAAGACATTTAACTGACTCCTGAGCTGCTCTGAGGATCACTCTAAGGGAATGAGGACACCTAGTGGACAAATATCAGAACTACAACTGCTGCTTTAAATCTCACTGACTTGTCCACAGTCAGTGAGACACTTGTTTGAGTGACACCTTCCCAAAAAATGTGTTGCAGCTCTGTGTTCACACTGATGGGTTGGAGCTTCCTTCAGCTTGTTTACATTTCACTCAGAGGCTCAAACTTGTGTGTGAACCCCTCCCTCTCTAACTTTTAGTCCTGCCACCCCGTGGAGGAAAAGAGACCCACTCAGGGACGTTGTGTTTGCGAGTTAGTGACTGTGGCTGACTCGGCCTGTCGTCACAAGAGAACGACTGAAGGAGACCTTATAAACAGATAACTGAATGAACTCTGAGATGCTTAGTATCTAAATGAAAACAGGAAGGCAGGGGGGGAGCTGAGGGATGAAGGGGGCGTGTTCAAAGAGAGCGTTTATTTTGGTGAAATCTTACTTTACCAGTAAGATTTGTGTGTTTAGAATTGTTAAGACTATGGAATGAAGAACGTTAATGTCAGTCATACAGAGCTTTGTATATTATATGTAAATAATGAATCAGCTGTGACCGCACATTGTCGTGTTTTTGTTTAAAGGTTTTGGCCTCTTCTATGGATCAGTGTTTGAAGACTGAGGAGAGAGCCCCTCAAAACCAGTCTGTGTGAGGAACCTGAAGCTCAGAGGTGAGAAGAGCATCTTTACCAGATTATGACTCATCACTCGACCTTTGTTACGTATACTCAGAGCTGTGTGTTTGTGTGTTTGCAGCCCAGAGCAGAGACCGGACTCTTCTGGACCTGTACTCAGCTGTGTCTCTATAAAGAGTGGCAAGTCTATTATTGAACCTTATGACCTCAAGGATGAACACCACTCGACTGAAAACAGGTAATAATAATACATTATTTACAACGCACTTTACATGAACGGGAATCTCAAAGTGCTACAACTAGAATAAAACCATAAAAACAACAACTTTAGTCCGACAGGTAAACTCAGGCAGAGTTAAGAACCTGATCATTAAACAAAATCTGAAAGCAGAGGTTTTAGGGAAAGGTTTTCAGGCCCTTTTTAAAGGAGTCCACAGTCTGTGTGGCCCTCTGGTGGGCAGGGAGAGCAGTCCATAGACGTGGGGCAGCAGAAGAGAAGGCTCTGTCCCCAGTAGAGCAGAGCTTAGTGCTGGGGGTTTGGAGGCAGTTTGTGGAGGCAGATCATATGTCTTGTGCGGGTTTCATGATGGAGGGGCATTGATGGGTAAGTATTTTATATTCGATCCTGAGGGTACCAGTGTAGTGAGTGCAGGTAACACTCTTACCATTTTATCCGTCCAGACACAAAGCGATCTGGCCAAAACTCGAACAATGTTAACAGTGTCCAAGGCGTCAGTATTCAGGGTAGCACTAGTGATGTCACACAGGTTTAACCAATCAACTGGCAGTGCTTTTTTCACACACTGGGTTCAGATTTGAATTCTGTTTCAGTTTGTATTATATTATATTATATTATATTATTATATAAAGCACTGACTACTGAACTATATTATATTATATTATATTATATTATATTATATTATTATATAAAGCACTGACTACTGAACTGTGGATATTATATTATATTATATTATATTATATTATATTATATTATATTATATTATATTATATTATATTATATTATATTATTATATAAAGCACTGACTACTGAACTGTGGATATTATATTATATTATATTATATTATATTATTATATAAAGCACTGACTACTGAACTGTGGATATTATATTATATTATATTATATTATATTATATTATATTATATTATATTATATTATATTATATTATTATATAAAGCACTGACTACTGAACTGTGGATATTATATTATATTATATTATATTATATTATTATATAAAGCACTGACTACTGAACTGTGGATATTATATTATATTATATTATATTATATTATATTATATTATTATATAAAGCACTGACTACTGAACTGTGGATATTATATTATATTATGTTATATTATATTATATTATATTATATTATTATATAAAGCACTGACTACTGAACTGTGGATATTATATTATATTATATTATATTATATTATATTATATTATTATATAAAGCACTGACTACTGAACTGTGGATATTATATTATATTATATTATATTATATTATATTATATTATTATATAAAGCACTGACTACTGAACTGTGGATATTATATTATATTATATTATATTATATTATTACATAAAGCACTGACTACTGAACTGTGGATATTATATTATATTATATTATATTATATTATATTATATTATATTATATTATATTATTATATAAAGCACTGACTACTGAACTGTGGATATTATATTATATTATATTATATTATATTATATTATATTATTATATAAAGCACTGACTACTGAACTGTGGATATTATATTATATTATATTATATTATATTATATTATATTATATTATTATATAAAGCACTGACTACTGAACTGTGGATATTATATTATATTATATTATATTATATTATTATATAAAGCACTGACTACTGAACTGTGGATATTATATTATATTATATTATATTATATTATTATATAAAGCACTGACTACTGAACTATATTATATTATAATTTCCACAGTATAATATGAAACTCCAAAAAGAAGAAGGAGGAGGAGGAAGTTCCAGTGAGCGAGTCTTGCGGTGACGCAGTTAGATTCCCCCCACAGAGAAACAGGTAAATGTGTGTTTTTCATGCCTGATTAGAGTATTTTATTTATTATTTACCTGTAATGGCTCGAGTGACGTGTTGCCTTTAATAATATAACAAACGAGTCAAATGTGACTCGTTTGTCACATTTGACTTTATAAAGTTTATGAAACTGAAAGTGTCCGGCTTGATGGCCGACAGATCAGCTGTTCATCTCTGAGGGTTTAAAAGAGGTTTGAAACTTTTGAAACGTTGTTCAGCGGAAGCTCACAGCTGATAAGTTAATAAGTGATAAGTGTAATGCTTATGAAACCTGGAGTTAACATTGATGACGTTTAAGTCTATCTTATCTTATCTTGTGGTTTATTGTGTTTGAATGCTGCTGGGTGGAGTCTATGTTAAAGCAGGATATTAAATCTGACCATTTTCCTCCAGAGACTGCATCAACACGACCCTGCTGGAGTGACGGACTTTCATGGGAAAATATTGAACGCAGTAAGTAGAGTGTCACTGGATCTGATTTCTTCTCACTATGAGAGATTTTTCTTTTTCAAAATGTTCATGTATAACATCATTCCCTCAGCCTGTAGACCCCATCACAATTCAGATCCTTTATTTTGAACGTTTCCAGAGTGTGTCAGGGCTAGGGAAATGGAGATCAAGCTTGAGGCTGTCGTCTCAAACGAGCGGCCCGGGCTCGCATCCCGCCTGTGGCCTCCCTCCCGCATGTCGTTCCCCACTCTCTCTCCCTGGTTTCCGACTCTGACCACTGTCCTCTCTCTCCATTGGGGGCAAAACGAAAAAAATATATATTTGATAGAATACAAAGAACACTAAATGTATGAAAGGTGCAGTGGAGGAGCTGTGCAGGTATGATTTACAGTGAGAATAACTAACATTATAAAAACATATTCCCCCATGCTGACTGCTGTAAAATAAACACGCAATAAAAATGTTTTAAAAAGAGCTGCAAGAGATAATTGCATGAGACCAAACAATGCAAAGACCTTTAGCATGTTTATAATGCTGACATCAGTGGAATACATTCATATTCCACTGATGGAAGAAAGTCAGTATTACAGATTTTTCATTTTCTCTGCCACTCGTGTAAAGATCGATTAAAACATGAATTCATGAGATCATCCCACTCTCAGCAATAACCAAGCAGCAACCTCTGGTGAATTTTCATTTTAATGACTCATCAGTTTTGATTTGATGAAGGATAAGAGTTATTCACAATAAGGCGTGTAGCTGACCTGATTGACAGGTGGGCGCGGTGTAACGGTTTGTCAGGAGGTTTAAAACCCGCCTCAGCTCCAGCTCTCAGCCTGTCGTTAGGTTGACTGAAAGTTAGACTGAGACAGCATTTCCAGCATGGAGACCGCCATGATGGGACTCCAGCGCCCCCTGCAGGGACAGACGGGGGACGCCACTCAGGCTTCATCTATTCATATTCACAATGTATAATAATTACAGAAACACTATGATAGAGTTTTGTGTTTGTATTATTTACCAAGGGTCACTACCTAAATAATATGTTTTTACCTCATATGGTTATCATCAAACTTTAAAGTCTGGATTGAACTGAATTGAAAGAGAGATGTCTTGGTCCTTTTTCCCTCACAGCTGATCCAGTGAACTGAAGCTTAAGCTGTGGGTAGAGCTGTGTACTGCTCTGTAGTTCACTGTTGGTGAATGAGGACATCTAGTGGACAGATTGCAGAAGTACAACTGCTGCTCTTTGTCTGTGGGAGGGACTGCTTCAAGCATGTATGACGGGTCGTTACAAAACATCTCGTCTCACAATTATCCTAACTTTATCAACTTTGTCTCATTGCATTTCTAACCATTATTTTTTGAGACAAAAGTGTAAAATAAACACACGATACTTGTGCCCTAATGAAAGGACCTGTGTTAAGTGAAGACAGCCCTTGTTCCAGTCATGCCCCTATGCTCTAATACTCTATGGCCCGAGACAAGATCAAGACCATAAATATCTCTGAAAAAATCATCATCTTGTGTTTAGGGGGCGTGTCACTCACTTAGACCGTAACACCGGGAAGGTTGCGGCCGTAACCGGGGGATAAAAATCAAACTACAAATGTATTGAATTTATTTGTTCTTTTGGAAAGAGGCATTTTCCTTCTAATCACAGTGATGACGTGGAGAAACAGCCTGTTTAAAATCCTGAGTCCGCCCAGTCTGAGACCGAGACAAAACTAAGTAAAAATGCATTTAGATTCTGAGACGCAACCGAGACCTCCACAAAGGGGCCTTGAGACCAAGTCCTGATTTCAAGTATTCAACACTAGACCCAGGCTATGTTGATGTGAGCTCCAGGTAGTGACAATGCTGATACTACCTACTCTACCACATGGCCCCTCTTGATGGGCAGCAAGAGCCAGGGTTGTCAAGTGGGAACCTCCCCTTTATCTGTGTTTCACCCGATTAGTCCAACGGCACCTCGGGAAGGCCGGACAGTTAATTCTGGCATCCCAAAGCCACTCCGTTCAATTCTAGTTCTCACCGACCACAATATCCACACGCAGATCTTCCATATCTTACCTACTTTACCACATGGCCAACACAGCCCAAACCGCATCGCCAAAAGAGAGATGACAAAGAAAGCCACGTTTCATATTGAAACACTTAAACAAGCTCATGTTTGGAACTACCAATTTTAATCATTCAATAATTAAAGTAAACAGTTTGAGCTCTGCTTTGATTTACTAATGTCTCCATAGCTAACGATAGAAAATATGACTAGAGGTGGACATAGATTCAGCAGCTTAGGGGTACAATTGTTCATTTCTGTTTTTTAAATTCCCATCTGCTCCTTGTTGTCTCTGGTTCTCTCTTCAATGCTGCCTTTATTCAGATTTAATGTCATATTTAAAGCATTATGAGTTTCTTTCCAGTCAAAAGTCTGAATGTTTGTCATGTGGCTAAAATAACTGATGAAAATGTATAAGGTCTTACAGCTTGTTGTTTGTGTGAAGGTTTTGGGCTGTGCCATGGATCAGTGTGAGGAGGCAGAGGCGGGAGCCTCCACCTCCGCTCAGCGTAAGGACCATGAAGCTCACAGGTGAGATGATCATCTCTGACTGTCTGTGAGTGTTTACAATGTCAGGATACTTAAATAATCCCTACATCATGACTCCCACTAAACACTGTGTGTGTGTTACATTAAAGCCTGGAGAAGCAGCAGAGACCGGACTCTCCTGGATGTGAACTCAGCGGTGTGTCCCACATGAGTTGGTCCATCAGTCCCCCGTTAGTAGTAGTTTCATAGTCTATGTAATAACACAATATAGTTTAAACAGGGAGAATGGCGTCTACCCCATAACCACAGAGCCCCTCGGTCAGCTATTTTCAGCACTATGTAACAGTCCAACGCCGAGCTGGTAATGTTGCTTTTTGACAGTTGCAAACTGGTTACACTTGTGTCCAATCAGTAGGTATTATGATCTGTCTCACGGCTAATGGGAAAGCAACAATCCAACAGCAGAGTGTATCAGAATCAAGCAAATGGTTTGTTTGTCTTTCAGTGTTCACCAGAGTGACCAGTCCATGATTAAACCGTATGACTTCAGAGATAAACACCACTCTACTGAACAAAGGTACTCCATTCACTTTAAAATTGTTGTCTTCAAAATATTGCAGTAGAATATATTTCAAAAGCTTCCACATATGACTGCTTAGATGGTTTGGTTCCATTATCAGAAGTTCACTACAGCTTGCTGGTCAGCCTCCTTCAGTTCTTCCCAACCTGCTTTAGGCCAGATTGTCAGTTTCTGAGTCAAATCACAGAACAACCCTCCATCCTGGCCAATATTATTACATTTTTCCCCTGGGTTGGGCCAGACTGCAAACAAGTGTTATTGCTCCTCCCTACTCTGTGGTTTAACATGAGTCTCATTTTTAGCACCCTGGCATGTACTTTCTCTGGCAGTTGAGTTATGTGGATAAACCAACCCCACCACCTACAGGGCTGATGCTGCCTCTGTCGCCATTGCAGCGACCAACACTGCTTATTGGCCTCTCATTGCAACTATCATTCCTCATAACTATCAGCCACATCAGAAATTCCTCTAATTTCACAGAATTGTATTACACTTTCTTAAAATCTTCTTGCCCTTATTTGTTCTGCATGAGACATGCAGAAAAACCAAGTGCTTGTCAAACCAAGCACAAAATGATTAATATGGCTTTCCAAATGAACCTTTGAACCATCATAAAGGCAGTATGGTCTTAACTCCTGCACCTACATTGGCCTGTTTACATCAAGCACAACAATTGTCCCTACCTAGATTAGATGTAACTTGGCAGTGCACCTGGACTTTGCATCCTATCTAACAACCCCCTGCTAACTCTTTGGCCATAGCCAGACTAGGCTCCAGGATAGGATTTCATCCCCCCTGATCTGAGGAAAATAGCTTGGTTTCAAATTAGCAAAGCAATAAGAATTTTGGGATCCACTCATGTCTAATGTCCCCAGGAATACAGCCTATAGGATATTATGGATTAAGAACAAAGATGCACATGTTTTTTTTGAGACCGTCTTTAGCAGGTAACATATTAGTAGACAGTTCCAGGTTTTTTACAAATTGCCAAGGGAAAAACAAATCAAGATAGAAGCAGAATCAAGCAAATGGTCCTGATTTTATGGTTTGTTTGGATTTTAGTGTTCAACAGAAGAAAGCAGACTCACCTGTACCCAGCTGTGTGTCCATAAAGAGTAACTGGTCCATGACTGAACCATATAACTTCAGAGATAAACACCACTCTACTGAACAAAGGTAAACTTACTGCCTGTGTAGTAACTCATGCACCTACATTGGCCTGTTCACAAGAAAAAAGATGCACACCTTTTTTAAATTTACTCGAGAAAAAGAACAATCCAGGTTTTGATCATCCAGACAGAATGAGCAATGAACCAGCAAGCCAGCAGCTTCTTCGATAAACCAAAAGGTGGTGTTATTGTTGCAAGAGATTCATATTTCCTAAACCTTGAATTGTCAAGCAATACATTTGCTAAAATGTTTATCTGTGATATTTGTGAGCATCAATCGTTTAGCTCTCTCTGCAGAGATGAGATGATCATCTCTGACTGTCTGTGAGTGTTTACAATGTCAGGATACTTAAATAATCCCTACATCATGACTCCCACTAAACACTGTGTGTGTGTTACATTAAAGCCTGGAGAAGCAGCAGAGACCGGACTCTCCTGGATGTGAACTCAGCGGTGTGTCCCACATGAGTCGGTCCATCAGTCCCCCGTTAGTAGTAGTTTCATAGTCTATGTAATAACACAATATAGTTTAAACAGGGAGAATGGCGTCTACCCCATAACCACAGAGCCCCTCGGTCAGCTATTTTCAGCACTATGTAACAGTCCAACGCCGAGCTGGTAATGTTGCTTTTTGACAGTTGCAAACTGGTTACACTTGTGTCCAATCAGTAGGTATTATGATCTGTCTCACGGCTAATGGGAAAGCAACAATCCAACAGCAGAGTGTATCAGAATCAAGCAAATGGTTTGTTTGTCTTTCAGTGTTCACCAGAGTGACCAGTCCATGATTAAACCGTATGACTTCAGAGGTAAACACCACTCTACTGAACAACAGAAGACATTGCACTTCCTAAAGAGAATGAAGCAAGATGAACTGGCTGATAGTCTTCAGAGCAGTAAGATGCTTTTCCGTCATAATTTATCTCACTTTAAACTATCATGCAGTAAATATTCCTATTTGTGTTTAAACAGGAACTATTGCTTCACTGAATCAATGTAAACTCAAATCCAGCCTGAAGCAGAAGTTCCAGTGTGTGTTTGAGGGGATTGCTAAAGCAGGAAACCCAACCCTTCTGAAGCAGATCTACACAGAGCTCTACATCACAGAGGGAGGGACTGGAGAGGTCAATGATGAACACGAGGTCAGACAGATTGAAACAGCATCCAGGAAACCACACAGACCAGAAACAACCATCAGACAAGAAGACATCTTTAAAGTCTCACCTGGAAGAGATGAACCAATAAGAACAGTGATGACAAAGGGAGTGGCTGGCATCGGGAAAACAGTCTTAACACAGAAGTTCACTCTGGACTGGGCTGAAGACAAAGCCAACCAGGACATACAGTTCACATTTCCATTCACTTTCAGAGAGCTGAATGTGCTGAAAGAGAAAAAGTTCAGCTTGGTGGAACTTGTTCATCACTTCTTTCCTGAAACCAAAGAAGCAGGAATCTGCAGGTTTGAAGAGTTCCAGGTTGTGTTCATCTTTGACGGTCTGGATGAGTCTCGACTTCCTCTGGACTTTAAAAACAATGAGACCCTGACTGACGTTACCAAGTCCACCTCAGTGGATGTGCTGCTGACTAACCTCATCAGGAGGAAACTGCTTCCCTCTGCTCGCCTCTGGATAACCACACGACCTGCAGCAGCCAATCAGATCCCTCCTGAGTGTGTTGACAGGGTGACAGAGGTCAGAGGGTTCACTGACCCACAGAAGGAAGAGTACTTCAGGAAGAGGTTCAGAGATGAGGAGCAAGCCAACAGAATCATCTCCCACATCAAGACATCACAAAGCCTCCACATCATGTGCCACATCCCAGTCTTCTGCTGGATCACTGCTACAGTTCTGGAGGATGTGCTGAAGACCAGAGAGAGAGGAGAGCTGCCCAAGACCCTGACTGAGATGTACATCCACTTCCTGGTGGTTCAGTCCAAACTGAAGAACATCAAGTATGATGGAGGAGCTAAGACAGATCCACACTGGAGTCCAGAGAGCAGGAAGATGATAGAGTCTCTGGGAAAACTGGCTTTTGAGCAGCTGCAGAAAGGAAACCTGATCTTCTATGACTCAGACCTGACAGAGTGTGGCATCGATATCAGAGCAGCCTCAGTGTACTCAGGAGTGTTCACACAGATCTTTAAAGAGGAGAGAGGACTGTACCAGGACAAAGTGTTCTGCTTCATCCATCTGAGTGTTCAGGAGTTTCTGGCTGCTCTTCATGTCCATCTGACCTTCATCAACTCTGGAGTCAATCTGATGTCAGAAGAACAAACAACATCCTGGAGGTCTGAAGTATCCAGAGAAAAACCTGACCCAAGACTATTACATCAGAGTGCTGTGGACCAGGCCTTACAGAGTCCAAATGGACACTTGGACTTGTTCCTACGCTTCCTCCTGGGTCTTTCATTGCAGAAAAATCAAACTCAACTACGAGGTCTAGTGACAGAACCGTTACAGCACAATCAGAAAACAGTCGAGTATATCAAGAAGAGGATCAGTGAGAATTTGTCTCCAGAGAGAATCATCAATCTGTTCCACTGTCTGAATGAACTGAATGACAATTCTTTAGTTGAGGAGATCCGAAAATACCTAAGACCAGGTAGTCTCTCCACAGGCAAATTCTCTCCTGGTCAGTGGTCAGCGCTTGCCTTCATCCTTCAGTCATCAGAAAAAGATCTGGATGTGTTCGACCTGAAGAAATACTTGGCGTCAGAGGACGTTCTTATGAGGCTGCTGCCGCTGGTCAAGGCCTCCAAAACAGCTCTGTAGGTGCACAAATAACTTTAGATACTAAGTTTATTTAAAAGGTGTTTTAACCAGTAAGTCTTGTACTAGAAGTGGTATTCAATTGACAGCAGCAAGATTTGGCAAATTTACATTTTTATCAATTCGACCCTTTTTTAGAGTTCTTGTGCAGATCATTGTCAAAAGAACCATCACATTGAAGTATATTTATGGTTAAAGTCCATCTGTGTAGGTTACTAACCTCCTGAGGTGTGTCATGTCTTAAAATGTTTTAAAACAATTTTAAAAACGTTGGAGACCACAGACATAACAGTTTCAACCAAATTTTAACATTATAATCGTTGGAACATGTACACTAGAGGATTCAGCCAGACCCCAAGACCACACACTTGCAATTTAACTATTACACAGTGGATATCTCACAGACACGAGATCTCACAGACACTTGTGTTATCAAACGTGACTTCAGAAGAAAAACAAATATGGAGGACTAGGGATGTGGTCTGCAAGCTGTGTGGTTTGTCTTCATGAAACATAAAGACACTTGTGTTGTTGCAAAAGTTACACAAGCTGCTCCACTTGGCTCTGGGGAAACATTCTTTATGTGTGCTGCCAGGTTTGTGAGCTGTAAAAGTATGCAACATCTGGTTGGTTACACTTCCAAATCTGCTCGCTCTCATTGGCTATTCCCTTGGAGGCAGCCAGATCTGGAATCATAAATATGGTATCTTGATTCCAGATCCGAGAGGCTCCGACTCAATCAGAAGCAGTAAAATAACCATATTGACAACACACACTTGATATTATTTGGAAAAATAATCGGATGTGCCAAGCCTTGAACTCTGCGGCAAGTTTGAGTGGGCTGATGTGAGTACGCCGCAGGATGTTCTCCGGAGAAGTCAGCTCGAGCCAGTTGAAGGAGGAGTGACGGTGGTATACTGTTACTGCTGCACGGTGCATAGTGTCTGCACGCGACCACTACGATGTCCGTGTACTTAGTTAAACGGCTGAATTTTGTTTTCTATTCGTCAGTATGTTGTTCTCCGCTCTTTTGTTGATTACACATAGCATTGACATAAAGACACTGTGAGGAGCATATGTGAACAGCCACGTCTGGAGAATCTCCGGAGCGGTCCTCCCGTAACTATCTAGATATTATTATGTGAAAACAGCTATAGAAATGCAAAGTCTTTAAAATTGTAGATGAAAGAAAGTTATAATGTTTTTCATTTTTCCCAAACTCTCCATCAGGCTGAATGGTTGTAATCTCTCAGAGAAAAGCTGTGAAGCTCTTTCCTCAGTTCTCAATTCACAGTCATCCAAACTGAGAGAGCTGGACCTGAGCAACAATGACCTGCAAGACTCAGGAGTGAAGCTGCTCTCTGCTGGACTGAAAAGACAACACTGTAGACTGGAGACTCTAAGGTGAGAAAACAGATGGGAATACCCTTTTAATACTGCCAAATATACAATATAAGCATATCAAAGCAGAGAAGTATCTTGGGCCTTTATACTGTCACTGAGCTCTATGAACCCAGGAAAGGTCCTTCAGCTCATTCTTTGGATTTGGTCTGATTGCTTGCCTCAGCCCAAGAGTGAAACAAGCATAGATTATTCTACTGAACCCTTCATCCTTCTGTATGATACTTTGTGATTCTTAATGTGTGGTCATGTGTGCTTGTGTCCAGACTGTCAGGCTGTCTAATAACAGATAAAGGATGCTCTTCTCTGGCCTCGGCTCTGAGATCTAATCTCTCTAATCTGAGAGAGCTTGACCTGAGCTACAATCATCCAGGAGACTCAGGAGTTAAACTGCTGTCTGCTGCACAGGAGGATCCACTCTATAAACTGGACACTCTCAGGTTTGATCAGTTAAAAGGTCTCACACAGTTGAGCTAGCTATATGTTTTTCTATTGCTGATTGATGGCATATTGATATCTGAATACGTTTTACTGTACCTAAGTCTGTTTGCATACATCCATTGGTTTGCCATTCTTTGCTCGGCTTTAAGACAAAATGTCTCTGGAACAATAAACCTGAAGTTGACCTTAAAGCCATTGAGGTCCTACCTTAGAGAAAGTAACTGATGCAGGATGAGAGTAGTAGCCTCAAGAGAAGAAAAAGGCCAACCATCATGCTCATAGGTCAAAGTGCACGGACTAGTTTGAAGATTGAAACCCCTGCAAGGACTGACTGAATACTGAAGGCTGGAGCAGTTTAGTATTTCCATCCTGCTCAGAGCAGTGTGCTACATCACCTGTAAACATGGACAAGTGTAGCTTAAGGGAGGACTTTGGGAGGCTTTACGTTTCTGAAATTGGGATAAGTGGTAAATGGACTTGATCTAATCTTCTGAATACTCAAAGCAATTCAACACCGCATGTCACACCTACACATTCACACCATCAGAAGTAGCTACAGAAGTATACACATGTACACGCTGCTGTAAGGGTCTTGCCCAAGGGCACATCGGATATATTGCTGCAGTAGCTGGGGATCGAACGCCCTAACCTTCCGGTTGAGAGACATACAGACTCCACCAACTGAGCCACAGCATATAAGATGGGAGAATATGTTTACATTCACAAACACAAAAACAGGATACTGGGATATTAAAGTTGCTGTTTAACACACTTCAGAGTGAGTGCCGTCACAGATCATTGACTGAAAAGTTTCTCAATGTTCAATATGTTTCTGTTTCTTTCTCCAGAGTGGACCATGTTGGAGAGCAGTGGCTGAAACCTGGTCTGAAGAAGTGTAAGTGCAGTGTTTCCCATTAATTAATTAGACTGTGACGGCCCGCCATAGTCTAATCTCTCGCGCCATAGTCTAATCTGTCATAGTCTAATCTGTCATAGTCTAATCTGTCATAGTCTAATTTGCCATGCTAGCATCAGGGAATTATTATCAACTATAAGTACATTTAAAGTACAGTTTACCCCGTTAAATGTGATGTGTGGCTGCAGTAGCCTACACCGGAATGTGTGATTGTTTTTATGTCCGTTCCCTAAAACAGTCCGTAGCTTGTTTACCTCCTGCAGAGTGTTACAACTCACAGCCGCTCGGAGCTTTTCAATCGCTGCGCAGGTTTCGGAGGTTTTAAACACAATCAAAGACTTTTGATCACCCTGTCAGACAAAGCAGCATAACTAGTTGTAAACCTAGATATCAAAATTCTAGCTGAATATTCTTTTTGAACCTGCAAAACAACTTCTGAAAGAGCGGAACAAATCCATTTTGTCTAAAGACGCCACTCAACTCCGCGTCTCCATGTCAAAAACATGCATTTAAAGATAAAGGTGGGTCTGCGGACCACACTTGAGAGGCAGAGAGAGAGAGTTATACGGGCGAGCGAGAGTCCGGAACGTGCCATTGCGCATGTAAGTGGACGGACAAGAAACAGTTTGGTGTCCCCCCGTCATAGTCTCGTGAAATCCTGTGGTAAACACTGAAGTGTGTTAATATATGAAAACGGCAGCTTATGTTAAGCTAACAAGTGAACTAGGGCTGTTGACATGAATCATTTAATGGATGCATCGCGATGCAGACTAGACCATTAATGCATCGATGCAGGGACAGGAAGTAATCGATGCTGACGAGGGTCAGAAAAAAGCATCTGTTAACCTCTACATGTGTTTGAGCAGCGTTGAGTGAGTTTGTTTTACCTAAACACACACGGTGGTGTGTAATGAAAGTAACGTAGGCTAACAGAGGGATTTGTGACAGAAAACAACATCAATTGAGTCCCGGTCCTGGTCTTGCTGACTTTATGAGCAGAGTCAGCTGGTCCTGCAGGCTCAGACCACAGTGCTCCGCTGCAGGCTGAAACGGCTTGACTCGGTGTCTCTTTAGCCGACCGCAGCTCGGGTTAGCATCTTTATCACAGGTAAAGGTGTGTTTAAAGTGACGCCTCGCTGTCTTAAGTCCAGGATAACTAAAAGAAGGGGGCTGTGGCGGTGACTCGGGATAAAGTGAGCGGCTGTAAACACAGTAGACTCCCGACAGTATCACCGCTAAGTGCACCTCCGCTAAAGATGATAAACACTTTCTACTTCCGACAAGTTCTTCACAATAAAAGTCCCCTTCCTATCTGTAGTTGTAGTGCTTTTAATGTGAAACATTCATATCAGGAAATTAGGTGTTTACAACAGCAGCAACTTAACACAACTCGTCTGAAATAAAAATAAACAAAAGTAACCCTGAACAAAGCTCACAGCTAAAGACTACAACGTCCTGAGAAGAGAATACACAGAGACTTCAAAACATAATACTGTCATCTAATAAACTAAACATAGAGACTTCAAAACATAATACTGTCATCTAATAAACTAAACATAGAGACTTCAAAACATAATACTGTCATCTAATAAACTAAACACAGAGACTTCAAAACATAATACTGTCATCTAATAAACTAAACACAGAGACTTCAAAACATAATACTGTCATCTAATAAACTAAACACAGAGACTTCAAAACACAATACTGTCATCTAATAAACTAAACACACAGACTTCAAAACATAATACTGTCATCTAATAAACTAAACATAGAGACTTCAAAACATAATACTGTCATCTAATAAACTAAACACAGAGACTTCAAAACATAATACTGTCATCTAATAAACTAAACACAGAGACTTCAAAACATAATACTGTCATCTAATAAACTAAACACACAGACTTCAAAACATAATACTGTCATCTAATAAACTAAACACAGAGACTTCAAAACATAATACTGTCATCTAATAAACTAAACACAGACACTTCAAAACATAATACTGTCATCTAATAAACTAAACATAGAGACTTAAAAACATAATACTGTCATCTAATAAACTAAACATAGACACTTAAAAACATAAACTGTCATCTAATAAACTAAACATAGACACTTAAAAACATAATACTGTCATCTAATAAACTAAACATAGACACTTAAAAACATAATACTGTCATCTAATAAACTAAACATAGAGACTTAAAAACATAATACTGTCATCTAATAAACTAAACATAGAGACTTAAAAACATAATACTGTCATCTAATAAACTAAACACAGAGACTTCAAAACATAATACTGTCATCTAATAAACTAAACATAGAGACTTCAAAACATAATACTGTCATCTAATAAACTAAACACACAGACTTCAAAACATAATACTGTCATCTAATAAACTAAACACAGAGACTTCAAAACATAATACTGTCATCTAATAAACTAAACATAGAGACTTAAAAACATAATACTGTCATCTAATAAACTAAACACAGAGACTTCAAAACATAATACTGTCATCTAATAAACTAAACACACACAGACTTCAAAACATAATACTGTCATCTAATAAACTAAACACACAGACTTCAAAACATAATACTGTCATCTAATAAACTAAACACACAGACTTCAAAACATAATACTGTCATCTAATAAACTAAACACAGAGACTTAAAAACATAATACTGTCATCTAATAAACTAAACATAGAGACTTAAAAACATAATACTGTCATCTAATAAACTAAACACAGAGACTTAAAAACATAATACTGTCATCTAATAAACTAAACACAGAGACTTCAAAACATAATACTGTCATCTAATAAACTAAACACAGAGACTTCAAAACATAATACTGTCATCTAATAAACTAAACACAGAGACTTCAAAACATAATACTGTCATCTAATAAACTAAACACAGAGACTTCAAAACATAATACTGTCATCTAATAAACTAAACACACAGAGACTTCAAAACATAATACTGTCATCTAATAAACTAAACACAGAGACTTCAAAACATAATACTGTCATCTAATAAACTAAACACAGAGACTTCAAAACATAATACTGTCATCTAATAAACTAAACACAGAGACTTCAAAACATAATACTGTCATCTAATAAACTAAACACAGAGACTTCAAAACATAATACTGTCATCTAATAAACTAAACACAGATACTTCAAAACATAATACTGTCATCTAATAAACTAAACACAGAGACTTCAAAACATAATACTGTCATCTAATAAACTAAACACAGACACTTAAAAACATAATACTGTCATCTAATAAACTAAACACACAGACTTCAAAACATAATACTGTCATCTAATAAACTAAACACAGACACTTAAAAACATAATACTGTCATCTAATAAACTAAACACACAGACTTCAAAACATAATACTGTCATCTAATAAACTAAACACACAGACTTCAAAACATAATACTGTCATCTAATAAACTAAACACACAGACTTCAAAACATAATACTGTCATCTAATAAACTAAACACAGAGACTTCAAAACATAATACTGTCATCTAATAAACTAAACACACAGACTTCAAAACATAATACTGTCATCTAATAAACTAAACAAGAGACTTCAAAACATAATACTGTCATCTAATAAACTAAACACAGAGACTTCAAAACATAATACTGTCATCTAATAAACTAAACACAGAGACTTCAAAACATAATACTGTCATCTAATAAACTAAACACAGAGACTTCAAAACATAATACTGTCATCTAATAAACTAAACACAGAGACTTCAAAACATAATACTGTCATCTAATAAACTAAACACAGAGACTTCAAAACATAATACTGTCATCTAATAAACTAAACACACAGAGACTTCAAAACATAATACTGTCATCTAATAAACTAAACACACAGAGACTTCAAAACATAATACTGTCATCTAATAAACTAAACACACAGACTTCAAAACATAATACTGTCATCTAATAAACTAAACACAGAGACTTCAAAACATAATACTGTCATCTAATAAACTAAACACAGAGACTTCAAAACATAATACTGTCATCTAATAAACTAAACACAGACTTCAAAACATAATACTGTCATCTAATAAACTAAACACAGAGACTTCAAAACATAATACTGTCATCTAATAAACTAAACACAGAGACTTCAAAACATAATACTGTCATCTAATAAACTAAACACAGAGACTTCAAAACATAATACTGTCATCTAATAAACTAAACACAGAGACTTCAAAACATAATACTGTCATCTAATAAACTAAACACAGACTTCAAAACATAATACTGTCATCTAATAAACTAAACACACAGACTTCAAAACATAATACTGTCATCTAATAAACTAAACACACAGACTTCAAAACATAATACTGTCATCTAATAAACTAAACACAGAGACTTCAAAACATAATACTGTCATCTAATAAACTAAACACACAGACTTCAAAACATAATACTGTCATCTAATAAACTAAACACAGAGACTTCAAAACATAATACTGTCATCTAATAAACTAAACACACAGACTTCAAAACATAATACTGTCATCTAATAAACTAAACACAGAGACTTCAAAACATAATACTGTCATCTAATAAACTAAACACAGAGACTTCAAAACATAATACTGTCATCTAATAAACTAAACACAGAGACTTCAAAACATAATACTGTCATCTAATAAACTAAACACAGAGACTTCAAAACATAATACTGTCATCTAATAAACTAAACACAGAGACTTCAAAACATAATACTGTCATCTAATAAACTAAACACAGAGACTTCAAAACATAATACTGTCATCTAATAAACTAAACACAGAGACTTCAAAACATAATACTGTCATCTAATAAACTAAACACAGAGACTTCAAAACATAATACTGTCATCTAATAAACTAAACACACAGACTTCAAAACATAATACTGTCATCTAATAAACTAAACACAGAGACTTCAAAACATAATACTGTCATCTAATAAACTAAACACAGAGACTTCAAAACATAATACTGTCATCTAATAAACTAAACACAGAGACTTCAAAACATAATACTGTCATCTAATAAACTAAACACAGAGACTTCAAAACATAATACTGTCATCTAATAAACTAAACACAGAGACTTCAAAACATAATACTGTCATCTAATAAACTAAACACAGAGACTTCAAAACATAATACTGTCATCTAATAAACTAAACACAGAGACTTCAAAACATAATACTGTCATCTAATAAACTAAACACAGAGACTTCAAAACATAATACTGTCATCTAATAAACTAAACACAGAGACTTCAAAACATAATACTGTCATCTAATAAACTAAACACAGAGACTTCAAAACATAATACTGTCATCTAATAAACTAAACACAGAGACTTCAAAACATAATACTGTCATCTAATAAACTAAACACAGAGACTTCAAAACATAATACTGTCATCTAATAAACTAAACACACAGAGACTTCAAAACATAATACTGTCATCTAATAAACTAAACACAGACTTCAAAACATAATACTGTCATCTAATAAACTAAACACAGAGACTTCAAAACATAATACTGTCATCTAATAAACTAAACACAGAGACTTCAAAACATAATACTGTCATCTAATAAACTAAACACACAGACTTCAAAACATAATACTGTCATCTAATAAACTAAACACACAGACTTCAAAACATAATACTGTCATCTAATAAACTAAACACAAGACTTCAAAACATAATACTGTCATCTAATAAACTA